TATTCGTAATTTGATGGCAATGCAAACGTACCACAAACAAGATTTAGTTAAATCACTTAACGCTGCCTACTCGATTCCGTCAGTATCAAAATGTCTCTTAGATCTCTCACGACTAAATTAGTGACTCAGCTAAAGTTACACACAGGGTCTACCCAGTATTGATATAATGCTAACTCAACCCGGTTGTATAGTATAACAGTATCACTAAGTTTCCACAAGATATAATCGACACACAAAACACAATCGATAATCAGATAAGAATATCCTACAGGTGACAGCGACCTTTTGTCAGTATCAATTTATCGCCACACAATTTATCAAGTCACTGCTTTGTTAAAATTAAACAATCTTTGATAAAAAGCAGTGATGATTCAGAAATAGATAAATAAAACTTAGTCTTAAAGAAAAAGACTTCCCCCAATCGGAACGATCCGAAAGAACGAAGCCCAGGACACAGTCTTCTCAAGTGGGTGTGTATCTGCCTAATACACCCACCGAGGTCTTCTTTTAGGTGTCCTGCGATTGCCCGAGCTGTCCTACTAAGTAGCTCAAGGCAACCTCTGATCGAAAATTCTTCAAATCTATGAAAAAGCTCTCCCACACTCGGACTGCTCCAAGTGCACGAGAGTAGGGAACAATTTTTCTTCTCAAGTGGGTGTGTATTTGCCTAATACACCCACCGAGGTCTTCCTTTATTTGTTCCCGGATCGCCCGAACTTTCCTATTAAGTAGCTCAAGGCAACCACACAACCAAAATCACAATCAAAAAAAAATTTTGTCCGGGTACTTCTAATACACCCAATGTAGAATCCAAAGTTGATCACGAATTTCCGGGTCAAAATGGGTTCCTATGATCCTAATAAGCGCGCCTAATATCCTAATATGATCCTAATTAAATGGATATTATCCGTTTCCCAAATTGCCACAGAAAGTTTACTCAAGTCTCTAACAAGTAAGATCGTTAGAAGGTTTAAGACACTCCGGAGGGTTACCTCGGAGGGTGCCTTGATCACCCAAGTTACTTCGGAGGGTACCTTAATCACCCAAGTTACTTCGGAGGGTCCCCCTAAATTTACTAAGGAGGGTCAATAAGATGCTTAATACGCTCCGGAGGGTTACTTCGGAGGGTTCCTCCAAAATTTTCAAATTTTTTGATCTTCGCTTAGAAGGTTCTCCTACTAGCTTCAAAAAGCGTCAAAACAAGCTAGGAGCTCTAAGGGGAGCTGTTTTGACTTCTTAGGGTGATCTCGTGGAAATTTTCCACTAAGGAGGGTTGCTAAGGGGTTTAGCTGACTCCGGAGGGTCACTTCGGAGGGTTCCCCCAAAATCAAGAAAAAGGGTTATATCACCGCAGTAAAGCCTCTGAAAGCGGTCTACCTGACTTAAAACTAGGTTGGCTGACACGGTCAACCTTCCCAGTTGAATAAAAAGATGTTTTGATAAAATTTTCTGCCGCTCGGAGGGTTGCCCGTGATTTGGACCCTCCGAACCAACAAATTCTAAAAACATTTTTCTTTTCCGAAATAATCAACCCAAAAACGGTTGCGATTCGGAAAAGTGGTCAAAAACGTCGACTTATGGTACCAAAATTATCCCAATCGGATAACTAGTCTTTGAGAAATCGCCAAAAACGCGTTCGTCAAAATGGCCTTTTTTCACCACCTATATAGGTTCTGAAAGACTTTTTCCGCAATTCCGGTCGAAAGTGCCTAAAAATACTTGAAATGAGCGTGGCAGCCCTGTACGGCACTGGAATAATGCAAAAACCCGGACCAAAATTGGTTTAGAAACAAAAATTTGGCCAAAAACTATCAAATTTGGACCCTCCGATTCCTTCCTTTTCCAAACCTTAAGTCGTTAGCTCTATCCACGGAGCTACTCGGAGGGTTACCCAAAAATTTCTCTAGTAACCTAGCACGTTATGCTAGCACGCTCCTAACGCAAAAAATTTTATTGCTCCTACTCTAAAAACTCAAAAACTCGATCCCCAAAACAGATTGATAAAATACAGAAAATTATCAAAATTTTGATCGAAAAATTTTCGTTTTTCTAACTTCTACTGAGTCTTTGCTCACGCGGTTTCTTTAGTAAAGGGGATCGAACTACGTAGCTACTCTCTATATAAAAGCTTTTTGTCTATCGGAACAGCTCGGATATCCGAAAATTTGGGGGTCTACAATTTGGTCGAAAATTGGTAATTTTCGACAAAAAATGGGTGTTTCTTGGGTCTAAATAGGAGATAAGGAATATATAATAAGGATAATAATCTATTAATAGTCGTTAATGAATAGTACTATACCCTCCTTTGCACCAAAATACCCGAATTAAGACCCTTAACTCGGAAATTTGCAATCGATGGAGGGTACAATCGGACCGCGCCAATCGTGCCCCCCACCACTTAAGTTTTAAAGAAATAGTACCCGAACGATACTAAAATTACTTCAACGATACCCAACAGTCGTTGCGGATGTTGTCCTTGATGTCCCTGTTGAGTGTGGAGCACGTTGATCAGCTTGCCACTCTACCATCCGGTCACCGGCAAAATCACCATTAACGTGCTTAAACACTCAAATTACACTCGAGGGAGGGTACCCAACCCTTCACCAAAACACACAATCTTTCTATCAGAAACGATATAAATCAATCTGAAACAACAACAAATAGGAAGTTCAGATCACATCCCGTCCGGAAATAACATATAAACTGTCACTTTATGTTTTTTACTGTTTTTGGTCTTTTTTGGATTTTTTTACTGTTTTTTGTATTTTTTTGTTTTTAAATAAATTTATTTTTGGCTTTTTCTTGGTTATACACTATTTTTGTTTGGTTTCACGCTTTCTCTTTAATTGTTTTTGGTCCCGGGACCTCGGGACAAGCGGGTTCATGACTTCCCACCTAACCCTCCGGCCCCCGGAATTTTCGGTGTTAACTGAGTTAAAAAGCTAAATTGTACTAGACGGAGGGTACGCACCTTCCCCCTAGCACAACAACGGTCATTAAGACCTCTAACTCGGGCATACGCCCGGAGCGGAGGGTTCGTCGCTGAAACGCTTGCTGATCATGATGGTTTCATGCCTTTAACAGGCCCACCCAGGAGCGCCATAAAAACGTCTATGTAACATTCGCCCAAATATCACACAGCGATGGAGCGTAGAAAAAGTACCTATTAACGACTGGCAGGCGTCAGTTACCTTAATTCTACTCGTTTTTTACCGTCTCGACCTTGCCAGTTGATTTTCTGGTCTGTCTAGGGCAAAGTAAAAAGTTACCATTTTTAGGCCATCAGTCAAACGACTTTTGATCAGCTTTCGTTTACATGCGAACACAACCACATAGCTGAGTCTCGGATCCTCAGACTACGTGATTGTCATTAAAAACACGGCTCGAACAACCTATTTTAACATGTTTTTGTGTGACAGTTCTATATTAAATCCATTAGAGATGGATTGACCCTTTCCTTTTTTTCTAGCTACTCATGCTCTGAAATATTAAATAATAACGGTGTTAATTAAGATCTAGGACATTACAGCAGCTGTTAAGGTTAGTTTACACAGTCCCTTCACATAGACAGTCTCTGAGGGACCAAGCCTCCGCTCCCGTAATATTCCTGAGATAACACTCTTATCTCTTATATTTCGTGTCCCGGGAGGGTTCCGTGGTATATTTCTTCCCCCACTGAAGCCTCCTTCTCCACAAATATCCGTCGCTAAGGTTCTTATCGTGTGTTATTGCCACGATAAGAGGCTTCGTAATTTTCTTGCACGACTGTTCTTCACAATCTCTATCGTGGTTCTGATTTTCGTCTTTTTTATTCAAAATGGCCGTCTTTTTTCTATTTCTCAGAAATGTTCTTCTTCCAATCGAAATTTTAAAAATAAAAATTCTAGAACATTCTGACCCTCCGTCGCAACACTTTTTTGCTCATAAGGCCTTTAGTCACTCTTTTTTATGTCGCCGGAAGGTTGTGCTGTGTCATCTGGCAGAATGGCACATATTCAAAATCGCCGAATCTGCATTGTCGTTCATTCTGGTCGAATGTCACATAAATTAATCAGTAACTCTAGCATTAAAGTGATTAAGTCTTAACTCAAAAAACTTGTAATCAATTAATTCCAGCAAGGGAAATTAGTTTTGACTCGAGAATTGAGTTTTGGAACTGGACCATTGGGATACCCCAGCTGTCCACCTTTCCACTGAGGGTTCACTCTGGTCCACTTCTTATTTGTCTCTGCTTTGTTTGCAATCGCTCTGCTTCCAATTGGGATAGGACTAATATCTGGACTAATATCCAGATAATTGATTAATATCTGGAAATTGCGAATAGCAATTTCCCGCTGCTTTTTTTTTCACTGCTTTCCCGCGATTGTAATTCGGTGGTTCTGATCCTGCATTTCTGAGATTTTCAGTTTTCGCGAGAAAGTTGAGCATGACAGGCTCAATTCGAATTTTTGAAAAATTTTATTTCACCCCAAAATTACGTTGTCTGTATTTTTCAAGGGTCAAACTTCCAAATATGACCGACTGGCACAAAACAAGGAGTTCTTGGAGCAGATTGAAAGTTTCGAATCGATCGCTTTTGGGAGCAAAAAAGGCGGTCAAGAAAACTAAATCAACTCGCTGTCAAATAAATCTTGAGGTAGATTTTTTATACTTCCGTTTGTAAAATTGATCGTGGTTTACTGGGGTGCTGTAGGTGTCATTTTGCTGGTTTGAGTAGTTTTTCTTCAAAATCATGGCTGTTCTGGTTATGTTTCTGACCTTTGATGATAATAAAACTACTTATCTCTGAATTATGTGAAACTACTTATGTCTCAAAACGACTTCTAAAAATCTTCTGGTCGAAATTCGAGCAATACAGTGAGAGCGACAAGTGCACTTGGAAATTAGCGTGCGATTGTACGGCGAACAATTGCAGAAATAGAACTGTTTTATGAAACGAGAAACTGACGGGGTCCAAACCCCTTGTGTGAACCACAGAATTAATATTACTACTACTACTACTACTAATAATTGTAAATAAAATATGGTATTTTAGTAGTTGCAATGCCACGGATAGATCAGGATGTTAAATTAGACTTCAAAGATGTACTTATCAGGCCGAAAAGAAGTACTCTGAAATCCAGATCAGATGTGGATCTAAATAGAACATACCCTTTCCGGAACTCTAAAAAAGAATATACTGGTGTCCCGATTATGGCAGCCAACATGGACACGGTCGGCACTTTCAACATGGCTAATGCGTTGGGAAAGTTTGATATGTTCACCTGCATGCACAAACATTACACGCTGCAAGACTGGGAACAGTTTGACAAGACTGCAACTGATGAAATGTATGAGAAAATAGCTATCAGTGGTGGAACTGGAGATTTAGAGAGATTAACCGAGATTATACATTATATCACTAGAATTAAGTACATTTGCTTGGATGTAGCAAATGGATACTCGGAACATTTCATCCATTTTGTGGAAAAAGTGAGACGGCACTTTCCTGAACACACGATAATTGCGGGAAATGTGGTCACCCCTGAAATTGTTGAAGAGCTCATTCTGAAAGGGGCTGATATTGTGAAGGTAAGCTTGCTGCTGATATGTTCTCAGAGCTTTTTCTAATTGAAATGGTTTAACCTCCCTGCTATTGTAAAATCAAGTGTAGCTGCTCAGCGTTTTATTTTATAAAGAAACTAACGGGTGATGATGATCCCTGCGCGTTGTTGCTATATCGCTGAAAATAACCTTACGCCGATGGTTTCATCCTGAGATAGAAAGGATCGATACATCTGAACAAATTTAGGCGAGAAAAAGTAAAATAGTTTTTCTGCTTTTGCTTATTTGTTGGAGTTATCTTCTTAGCAATGAATTTAGTGCTCCAGTTTTAAATTTAAACTGCAAACGGTGAATTCGCAAATTGTCTAAGAATTACTCAGTAAAATTTCCAAAAAGTTTCCTTCAATTTGGGGACGAAAAAAGTGTCACAACTAAAGCAGCTTTCTGGTTGATGCTGTTTGATTTAACCACAGGGATGCGTTTGCGAGAAATAAGTTCACAGAGTTAATGAATCTATTTAATTATATCTTGGTCAGTAGCTTTCAACCAAACTCGTGAAGCTTTCATTAGGTTGGAATTGGCCCGGGTTCGGTGTGTACTACCCGTGTGAAGACAGGAATAGGGTACCCTCAGTTGAGTGCAGTGATGGAATGTGCGGATGCGGCACATGGACTGGGGGGTCATATCATCAGTGACGGGGGTTGTACCTGTCCTGGAGATGTAGCCAAGGCGTTCGGAGCTGGCGCCGATTTTGTCATGCTAGGTTGGAACCATTTCATTTTAGGTTACGATAACTTGTAGGAATGCTCTGTTCATTGTTTTTCACTGTTCGATAATTCAATTTTCGGTGCCATGTTATATTCAGATCAGCAATGTTTCTAGGGAGTATTTTCAAAGGCCTGCTGAGCAAGAGCTAATTTGGCTTATACTTGCTATTTATAGGTGTATTTCGTGTAAGAGAGGGTCTGGTGAAACTGAGCAATGTTTTTTCGAAATGTTGCATTGTTGTAGGTGGAATGTTGGCTGGTCACGACCAGTCGGACGGTGAACTAATAGAGAGAAACGGTCAGAAGTTGAAGGAGTTCTATGGTATGTCATCAAAGACGGCCATGGAGAAACACGTTGGAGGTGTTGCCGAGTACAGGGCCTCAGAGGGGAAAGCTGTTACAGTACCCTACAAGTTAGTAATTTTGTCCCGTGTTAGTCCTCTAAAGGCAAGATCAGTTAATAATGAACTAAGAGAGGTACAGTGAAGGAGTGTGGCGAAGGCAACCGTGCCAAATCCTGAGTATCTCACAGGAGATGAGAGAGAGCGTGTTTGTGTGAGTATGAGAGAGAGAGATAGATAGATAGATAGATAGATTGATAGATAGATAAATAGATAAATATGATGGCTGGCGATGAAGCTTCGAATAACTTGAAGAGTGTAATCGGTGTTAAGGAAGTTACGGATTTCAGTATGCACTGCTCGAGTGACCGGGCAGGTAAAGAGCAAAACATCTTTGGAATGAATTCCGTTGTTGCGATATTTCCAATGAACAAGCCACTGTTGTGAAGAATGGGTAGTTCTTGTCGGGTACTGACAATCTAGCAAGGGTGAAGTCGGCCATAAGAGGACTAACTGGCTCTTGGCGTAGTCTGTTCATGGCAGGCACTGTCGAATAAGTCTTTCAGATTTTTCCTTGAGTGAGGAAACCAGAAGTCCTGTTGTATGATGCTGCAGCTGTGTGCCAATCCACAAGGTCGTTTGCTGTCGTGATTATGCCGCAGAAAGAGGCGAATGAGTTGTTGTTCCGTATCCATTTTTACCCGGTTGCAGTTAGAGACAAGACTTATTGATTCGTCCTTTAATTCGAAAAAATCGTGTTCGTCGTGGAATTGGTAGCGTTTGTAGTCAACTGCGGGCGGGTTTAGGCGTCTTTTTTAGTAGCCAGTCATTGTTTTTAGAGATTATGTCGAGTCGGCATCACTTATTAGAAGCAAACTCATTGGCAAGGTCCTGAAGTGTGAGCTGGCGTCGTTCTTTCGGCGTCTTTCTCTACAAAAAGGTTGATATATGCTGCCTTTTCTAGAGCTCAGGTCCACGTGTTGAATCGGCCGTAGTCAATCACTGTTGAAGTTGGCTGTTTACTGAGGTTGGTTGTCGGCTGAAGTTGATTATCTGTAGGTAGAACGTCGGTCGAAGGCTGTAATTTTGAATGAGCGGGCCAATCTATTGAAGATCGTTCCACGAAGGCCGATCGTTTGATCTATCGAGAGTCTGTTTTGTCGCACGCTTTGTATCCACGTGTTCCATCGTCAGCAGGGTTGTCTTAGCTAGGTACAATCTTGGTGCGATGTCGAGTCCATGATGCAGTTTGGGAGGTTGGCAATCTAGATCCAGTGACGCTGATTAAATGAGTTGATTCAGTGTATCGCGGTCGTACTGTCTGTCCAAAAAAGTTTGCTGTCGATGTTTGATGGTGCATTTGTCGCGGCTTGTAGCTTCAAGTTCGGTATTGTCATCTTTTAAGGGGGCGCTACTCGTATTTTTCCGATGACGAAATTTACCTCCACTGTGTCGTCGGCAAAGCTGATCATATACTAAACAACTGATGCAAGGTCAAGCTTCGAGGCGTCGTTAGCAACATGAAAATGTGTGTCGAGAATTTTCTTTCCTGTTATCGAGTAATTTCGTGACAGGTAATTGTCGTTGAACTGGTTGCGTTCGTCAATCCATTCATTTGATCCGTTAGAGGTTCTAGGTCGATGTTTTCGTCTCATTGAGGTCGAGTGGTCCAGGCAAGTTGTAGTGATTTCCAAAGTCGTATCGTAAATGGCATTGTTATCCAAATGGGATCGAAGATCACAAAAACAAGCCTCAGTTATTTGCACCGGGTGAGATCCTTTCTGTCAATCTTCTACAATTACTTTGCTTCCACGAAAAAACATATGTACCGGGCTTTCAATTGATTCCTAGAGCTTTTCCGGGAGGTCTGATGTGAGGCTGTCGTTATTTCTAGTTGTTCGCATTGCCGGTAATTTGAAACTGTTTAAAGTTGGATGTCCACATGGTAAAGTTGAAACCTCTACTGATGGACATTGTTCGAAGGTCTTTCATCAGTCTGGTGGCTTCAGCAGGCGTTGATACAGCTTGGTAAAGATAGTTCATTTTGATGTTCCTTTCTGTGACTTGAAGTAAACTGGGGAATTTGTCGGCATGGTCTTGTTCCGGTAGCTTAGTAGGCAACAAGGTGAATCAATTGCTTCGAAAATGTGACGAGTATACTGGTAGGTGACAGGCTTGTGGTGGCCGTGTTTCTAGGTAGAAAGAACTGAACTTGAGGCCTAACGAAGCTATGAATGAACTTTGCCTCGATGTCTGTCTGTCTTCACGAAATCTCATGACAATTCCGGTGAGGTTAGTGAGGAGGTCGATCCATTGAGAAGAGTTATGTTGAGAGAGGTTCCTTTGAAGATGCTTGAAGGTGAGTTCCACGAAAAAGTTGTACTGCATGAAGACCGTCTGCTCCTGGTGTATGATGATGATGAGCCTCGGTTTGCTGTCTTGTCAGTTGGATTTGAGTTCCGATTGGGGACAGTGTTCATGGCGGAAAAACTGGCGTTGAAGGGTTCAGTACTGAGTTCCGAAGATGAGCTAGTGCTGCGTTCCATGAATTTGAGTTTCTGGAGTGCCCAAATGACAAGTCAAACTTTCTGACACGTCCACATTGGTTTGTGGCCTTGATGCGGTGTACTGCAATCGGCTACTGTGGAGTTGAGTTCCAAAAGCGGGGTGTGATGGACGCGAAAAATGATGTTCGGCACTCTGGGGGCATAAAATTCAAATCTTAAACGTTCATTGATAGAAACTGTGGGCGAGGTTCACACTGCTGCTACGGAAAAGTGTGGCGTGAAGGTTGCTGACAGTGATGGCTGGTGAAATTGTGGCGTGGAGGTTGCTGACAGTGATGTCTGGTGGCGAGAAGGCAAAATTTTCTGTTGTGTGAGCTGTGAAGTTGGTCGTTGTTGTTGTTTTCACTATATAGTGGCGTAGCGGCTTGACTGGTCGGTTGATTGTTCATGGCTATGCGAGTCGTAACGGGCGTAGACATGTTGCTGTTCAGTCGTGACGAAAGTGAAGGGGTTGAAGAGGACGATATAAGAGAATGAACGTATATGTGTAGTCTATATGCATCTTTGTAGTTAATTTTTTTTTTTTCAATTTGAGAAGGGTCGATAAAATGTGTTTCCGTTCGAGGTTCATTTTCTTAAGCATCTCATCGTTCATCTACGTGATTTCGGCGTCTAAATTGTTCATGAAACTGGAAACCACGTCTTTTGTATCATGGTGGGCTATAAGTTCCGTTTTTAAAAAACATAATGATGAGCCTCGGTTTGCTGTCTTGTCAGTTGGATTTGAGTTCCGATTGGGGACAGTGTTGATGGCGGAAAAACTGGCGTTGAAGAGTTCAGTACTGAGTTCCGAAGATGAGCTAGTGCTGCGTTCCATGAATTTGAGTTTCTGGAGTGCCCAAATGACAAGTCAAACTTTCTGACACGTCCACATTGGGTTGTGGCCTTGATGCGGTGTACTGCAATCGGCTACTGTGGAGTTGAGTTCCAAAAGCGGGGTGTGATGGACGCAAAAAATGATGTTCGGCACTCTGGGGGCATAAAATTCAAATCTTAAACGTTCGTCATTGATGGAAACTGTGGGCGAGGTTCACACTGCTGCTCCGGAAAAGTGTGGCGTGAAGGTTGCTGACAGTGATGGCTGGTGAAATTGTGGCGTGGAGGTTGCTGACAGTGATGTCTGGTGGCGAGAAGGCAAAATTTTGTTGTGTGAGCTGCTCGCTGTGAAGTTGGTCGTTGTTGTTGTTTTCACTATATAGTGGCGTAGCGGCTTGACTGGTCGGTTGATTGTTCATGGCTATGCGAGTCGTAACGGGCGTAGACATGTTGCTGTTCAGTCGTGACGAAAGTGAAGGGGTTGAAGAGGACGATATAAGAGAATGAACGTATATGTGTAGTCTATATGCATCTTTGTAGTTAATTTTTTTTTTTCAATTTGAAGGGTCGATAAAATGTGTTTCCGTTCGAGGTTCATTTTCTTAAGCATCTCATCGTTCATCTACGTGATTTCGACGTCTAAATTGTTCATGAAACTGGAAACCACGTCTTTTGTATCATGGTAGGCTATAAGTTCCGTTTTTAAAAAACAATGGTGCCTTATCGCGTTGAATTAATTTAACTTGTATACTGTACAGTAGTTTTAGCTACATTTTTTACTACATTTGAAATGCATGCTTAAGACGTAATTCAAAGCAGAGAGCAGTAAAATTTTTCATGAATTTTTTGTGCTTGCAACGGGAAAACTTGTTGTATTAACAGTTTGGAGTAACAAACAATAAATTGATTCAACGCAAAACAAAATCACTAACATTTTTTTTTCTTGAGGGTTACATCAATAGCAAAGCAGAGCTGAACCAAACAAGTGAAATAAAAGGCGTAGCCTCGAAAAACTTGGGCGCCATAATGTTCCGGACTAGTTCTCTAAAGGCAAAATGAGTTTAAAATGAGAGACAAGAGAACTAAGAGGGGAACAGTGAATGTGTGTGGGGAACAGGAACCCTAACAAATCCTAAGTATCTCACAGGAGATGAGAGACAGATTGAGTGCTCTTATAATGGCGAAACAAACTAAATAAAAACCGCATTGTAACTCAAAAATGGAGCATTGTAAATAAACATCAGCAATTAATTGCTATACCATCTTAAGTGAGGGCCAAATGTGCTCAGAGTGGCCGCGGGCAAGGTGAGCGGCTCTTAACACTGGGGTCGTGCGTTCGAATCCCACTTCGGTCACAGTCAGAGGGCATTCAGTGTCATCCGCCTCCTCATCAATAGGGACGGTGTTAAAGTAACCTGAACAATTCCAAATAGTAAATCTGGTGATGATATGTTTCGTAAAATTTTAAAATAAACTGCGCTAAACGGTAAATTCAATGAAAATGCGAACTTTTTAAAAGTCGATAAACGTAGTTCAAATTTTATATAGTCGTGATGTTTTTTTTGTTCAATTCAACTCCGTTGGCTAAAAGGTGGGCAAAATTCGCTCTCCAATTACAAGAGGTAATGGATCAGCGGAAAAACATAACTCTCCCAGTCAGAGTCGTATCTGGAATTTTTCGAAAATTTTGGTCGACCTTTTTTTTGGTCGACCAAATTGATTTTCCGAGTGCTCCGAGAAGATTGTAAAAAAACCCTATTTGAACCAAAATTTTGCACCGCAGGAAAATCTTTTGAAAGACAGGCAAAAAACCATTTTTTGTAAAATTTCGACCAAGAAATCGCGTTTTTTTTTGTTGCGCGTTCCCGTTATAAATTAGTATTTATTGGCAACTTAAGAAAAATTTTAGGGTCGGTCGGCGTAAAATGGATGTTTGTGAGGGGGGAATCCCTGAGAGGAAGATGAGAGTGGAGTCCCCCCACCTAAATCTGCCCCTACTTTCAGTGTTCTCAAATTGAGTTAATTTTACCCCAAATGGTTCCTGAAATCCAAAGAGCTTTGTGGCTGGAGCCACAAAAGTAACGGAATATTTGTGCTCGGGGTGGTTTTTTCTTCAGACAAATTTCGACTTTTTAACTAGCAATTTTTGGCGGGATATTTTTTTTATCATTCAAAAAGTATTGTTGTCTTGCATTAATTTGGAAAGGTATTTCACCTGTGATTATTTTTGTAAAGTTATGGGAGTTTAAAAATTTTCGTTTTGGTTAATTTGGGACCATTAACGCCCGATATATTTCGCGCTATTAATGCGTAAGCGAGATTTAATCCGTCTTAGAAATCGTTCCAAATTGGTTTAAAGAAGCTTATTTGACAAAATTGATTTGTTACTAGGTGCGAAATGTATCACATAGTACTTTATATGGCGTGGGGGAATGATTTTCACCAAAAATCTCAAATAAAAAAAAATCATTTTATTTTCATTACATTTAATTTTTTCATGTTATTACTGCTCTATAAATTGAGGCATGTCAGTTGGTAAGTTTTTTTTTCAAGTTGACTGGTATTGCTAATGCGTCATAATTGGCGTGCGTCACTTAAGAAAATTGAAGACTCAAAGTTTTACTCATTCAGTTTTTCCCAGTAGCACTATCGGTCATATTTTTGCTTGCGTATGCGAAGTGCAACTTCGCCTCTGTGTTACATTTGCGAAGCGAGTGTATCAGTGTATCATATTTTTGCTTGTGTATGCGAAGTGCAACTTCGCCTCCGTGTTCAATTTATGGTTTGATTTAGAGGAGATGTCGTGGTGACGTGTAGGGACATCCTTGGCGGAGTGAGGTCCACTTGCACCTATGTCGGAGCTTCCAAATTGAAGGAGCTGTCCAAACGAACAACCTTCATTCGTGTCACTCAACAAGAGAACAGAGTTTTCTCTTCTTGACCTTCAGGAATAATTACTTGGGACCAAACTCGTATTAACTGTTGTTTTGTGTTTTCTTTCATTGGATGTTTCTAATTTGAAGCATTTTTTGAGAATAAACTATGCAGCTGAGCTGCGCTGACTTAAATGCTTTATACGAGTGGTTTGTTTTATGCTTTGCTTTTCAATGCGAAACCGAATTTTAATTTTAAATTGACGTTGAAACCTTGATATTTTCCCGTTGACAGCATTTCAGAATTAAAAGTGTATGTTGAACATGAAACGATGTTTGCGTACAGTTGGCAACTGCAAAAATTGCAACGTTAAGCTAGCAGCTCGATAAGTAAAAAGTTGAGTGGCTATAATCAGTTTTTGTCCGTAAGTGAGGGCAGGTTTTTAAGAGTCGATGAACGTAGTTCAGACTCTTGTATTGGTCGCAATGATTTTTTTTGAGGAAAAGTCATAAAATTGTTCAGTCTCAAAATTACTTTTTCGTGGTGTCACTTGATTTTTTTTAATTTCAGTTCATCTCCTTTGTTAAAAGGAAGTCAAACTCCATTATCGAACAGCGAAAGTGTAAAGGGCACAAAAATTGGATAGGTTTCTAGTTTCGAAAGTAGAATTTAATTATCGAATTTCCCAGCGAAATAAATATTTTACCTATTGATCAATTTTTTCAATTTTTGTTAATTTTTGAAAAAAGTGTCATTGATAAATTGTTCAAAAAATTCAAAGATCTTACGGGCGTCTATTTTTTTCTTTGAAAATCAAAAGTTGGGCCGTAACTTAAGCATGCAGTTAAAATAGCATAAAAATTTGAAACTTTTAAAAAGATGTGCAAATACATAATAGCTAATCAGATTTCATGGTCCTTATACTATCCACAACATTGCAGCTAACGATTTCATTACACAGCATAGCTTGTGTTATAGTATGAACTTTTTTTCAACCTTAGTCGCAAATATGAATGCGATGCAAGTGTTGCGACAAAATGAATGCGATTCAAGTGTTGCCACAAAATTTTGATCCAGCTATTAAGTACAGCCAATGCTAAAGATATTAAGACACTATTATGTTACAAATAACACTTTAGCTTCAAGGTATCATGAATCTGTAGCGGAGAGGTAGGGAAAGAGACCAGAAACAAAATAAGAGGGTTCGAACTTGGGAAGGGTCGGATGTTTTTAAATGAACTTTTTCGTATACTAGTTAAAATGCCTCCGCTCTATAAATTGAGGCATATTGGTAAGTTTTTGGAAAAAAAATCGACTGGTACTGCTAATGCGTCATAATTGGCTTTTTTCACTTAGTAATTATGTAGACTCATAATTTGCGTGGGTCACTTGAGAAATTTTGTTGGCTCGAAGTTTTACACATTCAATTTTTCCCAGTAGCGTAATCGGTCATATTTTTGCTTGTGTGTGCGAAGTGCAACTTCGCTTTTGTGTTAACGTATATCAGAAATTGGTGATGAATGAGCACTACAAAATAATTGTCTTGGCTTTCATCCAATGTTTTAATAGTCATGCATCTGCCACTACGTGGCCGAGCCGAAATGTTCATCCAGTTTTTTTTTCAGAAACGAGAAATGTATGCTTAATCCAAAATTGCAAATTAGGTTACAAAAAACACGCGATAACATGTAAGTAAATCGAACAAATATTTATGCTATTTTATGCAGCTTTAAAAAACATCTGACGCAAAATTGATAGAACGGCGGAAAAAATGCTTAGTCTGGGTTTGAGCTTCCTTTGTTAAGGCAATTATCTCACGCTTTGTCATCAAAACTTAATTTCTAAACAATTCAGCAAACTGTTATCATTCACGCGCAATACTTTTCATGTCGAATATAAGCAGATGAAGTGGTCACCTTCTGCAAATATCGCCTTTGAGGCTAGCGTTTTGGCTTCGTTTGAGTAAGAGACTGCCAGCTTAATACCTAGCACGCCCCAGAAAGATAAAATATTATCAAGCCTAACATCAAAGCGGAACAGTTTTTTGGTGAGTACCTTGCCGAACAACCCGGGTTGACAAAAATGCTTGTCATATTATGAAAAAAATGCTTATCATACTATTTGATACTATTTCATAGACCAAAAAAATACTACGAAAATAGCATGATAAGCATTTTTTTACTACTATTGAACATTATTATAGGTTTTTTTTCCATACTATGAAATTGTATGAAAAGCACTTTTTCCATAAATGAAAAAACCAAAAAATGTTCGTTTTGAAGTTTTGTGTTTCATGCGAAACACTACCCCTGGACTTTTTGTCATAAGAAAACCCAGAGTGTAACTGGTAGGTACCACGCAGATAAACTGCATTTGGTGATTTTTGCCACCTAAGTTAATTTTACATTTTCACATGGAGTTATATACCAAAAATGTAACTTTTTGTATATGGGTAGATAATTTTTGGTTTGAAAGTTTTTGTAGTTGAGAGAATTTTTTTTTTTACAAATATCTTTATGTTAGCAAGTGAAATAAAAAAATCAATCCTGTTTACAAAAAAAAAACACATTTTTTTGGGATTTTTTGGGAGAAAAACTCACCCTGGACTACGTCTCAAATTCGTGCTTTTGCTGATAAAAAAATGCATATCATACAATTTTCATTTATGAAAATTTTATGATAAGCATTTTTTTGACCAAAATTAAAATCATGTTTTTTTGAGCAGAAAGATTCAAAAGATGGAAATAAAACAGAAAGATTCAAAAGATGGAAAAAAACAGAAGTATTTCTCTAAAAACGTTCAAGTAACAGTTTTCAAGTTTTGTTTGAAAATTGTATGATAAGCATTTTTCTTCTATGGACGTCAACCCGGGAAATCAAGTCATTTGATAGATTGATTGAATTGTAGTAATCTTCACTGTTGATTTTTTTATGAGTCACTTCAACTTCATTTGACATATGGAAAACAATTTTAAATTTCTCAAAACGAGGATGCTTCGAAGAAAAATTGATTGAAAGAAAAAATGATAAATTTCACAGCAGACGCTAAAATAAATTTTAGGTCCAGTTTTCCTTATTGCGCTTTTCTGCAGAAAATTTATCACTGATCAAGTTAATGGTGATGTGAAGTTTTTTTGAAACTTGCATGCTCTGAAATCAAACATTTTCCTTAGTTTCTTTGATGATGGAAGTTTTTGCAATTGTTTTTTGAAGAGTCGATAAACGTATATTTTTATATAGACCGCAATGAATTTTTTCCGTTTTTTTTCAGGAAAAGTCATAAAGTTGATCAGGTTTAAATTTTAATTTCCGCAATTTGAGTTTTGGTGTTTTGCTCATTTCATTTCTTTGTTAAAAGGAAGGCAAGCTCTAGTTTCAAAAGTTGATAACTTAAGGCCACAAAAATGTGATTGACTTCTAATTTCGTAAATGGAAACTAATTATCAGATTTCACAGCAATGGGTCTTACATACTGATCCTTTGTTCTCAAATCGTGTTATTTTTATCAAAAAAGTGTCAATCATAATTAGTTGTAAAATTCTAATAATTTCAAGGCCAGCTACTTTTTTCTACAGAAAAGAAAAATGAAGTCACTACTTTTTGTCTGTTAACTTGCTTTAAATGACTTTTTCCTACTGTTTGTTGGATATGCTTAAATTTGCAATTAGCCAGCGGGTGTTACCAAATCGGAACTAGAACTTTCCTCAGTTGAACGACTTGTCGAGCAGATTCAATTAATCATTCGATAGCTGTTTTTTGCGATGACAAAATGTTCATGCCTAGGATGACAAAGATATAAGTATCCGTCCACTTTTTTGCAAATTGAAAATTTCCCCAAAAAAATTTTTTTCTCAGACTATTGTTTGGCTCCTTAAGCCGACTTAGTTGGCGTAGCACGGGTTTGGGTTTTTTCTTCAAATTTCTCTACCTTTTTGATGTAATCCTGTTGTTGGGCAGGTAATTTAACTCCCAGAGTCTTCGATGTTTTTTCTTTAGAAAAAAAATAAGTTGTTGATATACTCTTAAGGATGAAGTTTGTTTGACTTTTCGTTCATTGTTTAGTCGCTAGAAAGCAACGAACGAAGCCGTGTTTCAGTGCTTTGCACATTCCATATTTAAACACGATTTTATGTAAATGCAAGTTTGAACAAGGATAGCCGACCAGTCTTAAAAAATACATTTTTTTTTTTCAAATTGGTATCGTGATAAAAAGGTCTGAACAAGAATTAGATTTTGGGTATAATTGAAATTTATTGTAAAATAGCTCAATTAGAAAACATTTTTTGAAGAAAACGACTAGAAAAACGCAAAAAAAAAATTAAAAAAATCGAAAAAAATTTTTTGCAGAAATTTTTTGAAATTTCAAAACTTTGAGTCGCAAAATTGCGCTAAAAAAACTCCAGAATTGAGTAAAATTATGTTTTCACAGCTCAAATTAAAGCTAAATAAGCTATTGTAAACCTACACGGTCACCTTATCACCTTATTAGCTCGAAATGAGACCGAAATTGATAATTCGAAAATGAGAGAATCTGGAATTACAGCTTTGTTTTGCAAAGGTTTCCTGCATTTAAGTTTTCGGAATTTAGATCACAAACAAGATTGTATATCGCAAAAGTCATTTTTGCCAAAAAATTTTGATTCTGACTAATTGCAAACTTTAGACTTGAAGCAAAAAGGAACTAATTGTTTTGAACATTGAAAATGGTGAGAAACTTTTTATTCAGGTGTGTTTAGTTTTTTTTTGTTTTCCAAGCAAAATCGGGTACCACAAATAATCATCGGACTGCGTTGAGTGATATTTTAACTGCGTAAAGCTTACAATAGCCTAATTTAAAACGTGAAAACTTAATTTTACTTGAGTACGTTAGTTTACTTTGAATAGTTTAGCGCCTTTTTGTAATCAAAATTTTCAATAAACTCAAAAAACTGCAAACCTTGAAACTTCAAACCAAATCAAAAATTAAAACAGGGATAGCCGGTTACTGTGCAAGTGGCACGGAATGTTTTGACAATATTCTTAAAAAAAAAAAAAACAACGTTTTTTTCTAATCATTGTCGTTTTTTTTCGGCGTGGTGTGATAAAAAGATCTGAACAAAAATTAGATTATAGGTATATTTGAACTTGATTGTGAAATAGCTCAATTGGAAAACAATTTTTGAAGAAAAACGAAATTTCAAAACTTTGATTCGCAAAATTGCGCTAAAAAACTCCAGAATTGAGTAAAAATATGTTTTCACGGCTTAAATTAAGCTTGAATAAGCTATTGTAAACCTACACGGTCACCTTATTAGCTCGAAATGAGACCAAAATTGAAAATTCAAATCAGGACTGAAAGAGTTTTAATATGACATATCACTCAACCAAGTCCTATGATTCTTTGTGGTACCAGATTTTGCGTGGAAAAAAAATAAACACACGCAAATACAAAGCTCCTCCCTATTTTCAATAGTCGGAACAACAAGACTGCCGCTAGCAGGGCGAAAACTTAAATTTTTCAACGGCTTTTATTTTTCTTCAGAGTAATTTAAATCAAAATAACTGATAAAAGTATTTAGAAATTTTTTTTTTAATTATGGAGATTTTTTGATGCTATGTAAAATACAAAGTAATATGTTCGTGATGCAGAATTTTTTATCATATCGATGCTTATTTCTACTTTTCATGCCATTTTTAGAGCTGCTTTTTGTCGTGTTTTGGCTAGTGTTTGCGAAGCACAGCTTTGCCTCTGTGTGAAAAAAACATCCGTCAAAGTTTGTCAGTTAAAAAGTCAACATTTGCCAGGAGAGAAAAAACCACCCCGAGCACAAATATTCCGTCATTTTCTTCGAAAGTAGTCGGAATAACGTATTTCACTATGCCTGGTTATTCCTTCGACGCTGGTTATCTGGAGAAATATTAATTGTGTCGCAGCTTTTCTCTATCAATAATTATAAACGCCTGCATACCATTATATTTTTGCGAAGCTTCATTTTGTTTCTGTTTAATTAATTCAACGAAGCTCGGAAAAGGAAAAAGTGAAAAATTATCGGTATGAAAGAAAAAATGTATTATAAGTGCTTTGTGGAACATAAATGATCTAAATTGGGTTATGTATAATTGAACATTTTACAAATAGAGAGGCTAATTCTGTTGGTTGGTACAAAGTATAAATAAAAAAAACTGATTAAAAATTGCATTCTTCTCTTCAAATGCTCTCCTCGTAAATAAGATCTAGTTTTCGCGTTTGTTGATCGCTCGTCGAATCTTCTGGGTAATGTTTCGCGGGTGAGAAAACATTGAAGATATCGTATTTGGTGTTCACTTTCTTGCGTTGAAACAGGAAATTAGTGAAATATGACACTAGCAAAATGGTTAAGAAGCAGAGAGCCATGGAAAGTGTGCGGAACGGGAACATCTGCATTTCTTTTTCCTGGTCGTAGAAAGGGTATTTTATGATGGGAGGAATCGAAAAAGCCTTCACGCCTCCGAGAAGTCGGAAAATTAGTCCAATCACAAAACCTGAAACGTTTAGTAAGGCATGCAGTGTGAATTTAAAAAGTTCTTTTTTTTCTATCGATGCTTGTTAAACATCCAGAGGAAACATTTTAGTCGCTTCTTGTTAATATGTCTACTGATTGAAAGCGTATGGACAATTTATGAAATCGTTCCTGGATTTTTCTTCATTACACAAACTACAAAAACAATATGCCGAGAAATTGGCCAGAAAGAGACCATTTGATTAAAAATGGCAAAACCTTTAATCGCCTAGCCTCAGTCTTATGTTTGCAGCTTGTTTTGTTTGAAGACTACGGCTCATTTCTAGCGTCAAATCTTTGGCCTCAAATTTTTGGCATCAGTGTAAGTCAAAATGCGCGGAAGTGACAAATCACTTCACTCGCGAAGTTTATTTTAATATTTTTCAATATAGTGCGTAGTCAAATAAGGTATGCATTTCAATTCTATGTGTTATTTCACTTGTGATCGGGAACTAGACTTTTTCTCCCGTAAACAAATTTTTTGGCTTTATTGAGCTTGCATTATTCCTTTCCTTTTTTCTGGAGGTAATGCGCTTGCCTTGCCATGTCTGGGTTTCGAGTAGTAGTCGCACATTGTTTTTTATCCAGTGTGAATAAATCTGAAACTTTTATCGAGACAAATTACATTTTTGGCCTAATGCTTGTCTGCTTATGTTTTTTTTTCTTCTTAAATGACTTTTCATGGATGGTTCTTGTGTTTGGAGCAATCTGTAACTGTCTATATTGTTGATTTCTTCCTGTAATTTGAAACGTACTTGCTCTGGTTTTACATATTTTGCTTTTAATTTGTTTCTCACATGGAAGTTTCATTCAGCCTACATGGTTTTGGCTTATATCTTAGTAGCTCAGTCAACTTATTTTGAGTCGTTAAAAAGCACAAATTTAGGATTTTCAGTTAATTTAAGTCGATTGTGGTGCAGAAATTCGAAGTTTTAAAAGTTAATCGTTCAAAGTTTTTAATGA